ACAGCATGGGCAAAGCACAGAAGTGTAGGAAGACACGGCCTGTTAGGGAATGATCAGTAACACACCTGGTACACAGAGTATGTGGGAAGGCGTGAAGCAAAGATACGCTGATGCTGACAATATCCTTTTCTATACATGAACTAACAAAAAGTGTATTATGAACAACTTCTCTATAGTTGTCATCACACTTGGATGACACAATCAGTTAATACCAATTATACTTTCTTTAGAAAGTTATACTTTCAGTTAATACTTTCTTTACAAAGCAGGAATGAACCTATTTTGTTACCAAGGGTATCCTTGGTATCTCAGAGTCTGGTACAAAATTGATGCTTAATAAATAAATGAAGGCAATTAATTCCACACAATGACCTCTGACTACTGATTACATTACGGTTATTGGTGCTCAAGCCTTGGCAAACAGGGAGTTCCCTGAGGGCAGAGACCATGTGTGATTCACCTTCCCTAGTGCCTAGCATGGTGCCTGTCACCTGGCAGTCCCTCAGTACATGCACAGTGAGCTCCTCAGGGACCCTCAGAAGGGTGTTAGGAAAGCCCCCAGTAGTCCTCAGCCCAGGCTGTGGGACCCTGTGACACTTTATTTCTCCAGGCTTCCTGTGTGAAGGCTGGAGAGCCTGCACTCCACCTTCTGTGTTCCTACCTCGGGTCCTGCCTTCTGATGGTCCATAATGATGAATGTGCATTTATTAGGCACCAGCTGTTTTCTATGTCCCCTGTCTTAGCCCAACACATGCCCTCTAAGCCAGGCACAAATCTAGCCCATATTCTGGGAAAAGGCTACAAAACACAAATGCCTTAGATAACTGGAAAGAGAAAACAGAAAATTCACTCATATTCCCACCCTGCAACCTTTAGTATTTTGTTGTTCCTTCCAGATTCCATGTGTGTGTTTCATTACAAATAGAATCATGACATGTAGATCTTTTAAGGTTCTCTTCCTTCCAACTAACTCAGTGAAGCATAGTCTAATGGTTAAGAGCACAAGGCCTAGAACCTGATTCCCTGGGATTCGCTGATTCCCTTCAGATTTTCACTCTGTTATATGATCTTGGATAACTCAGCAAACTACTCTGTACTTCATTTTCCCAGGCTGTAAAATGAGGATGATAATAGTTAGGATTAAATAAACATCTTTACAGTTAGACATGTGAAGCACTTAGAACAATATCTGACATAAGTTAAAAACTTAATAGCATTTTCTATGTTGCCACATCATCTTCATAATTCATTCATTTTTAATGGATGCAATATATGTCCACACTAGCTAATTTACTTAACTCTTACTCCTTTGTTAGATGTTTAACTTATTTCCAGTCATTCCGTATTATAAATAACACAGTCATAAATATCCTAGGACATGCGTTGTGGATTTTTCCATACATAGCTTCCCAAAAGTAGAAGTATGAGGTTAAAGGGCACAAACATTTTATGCCTTTGGTCTATACTGGGAAATAGTTTTCCAAAAAAGGTCATAGCATTTTAAAATACAATTTATGCTGGAACTTTTTACTTTTCACTACTCCCTCACCAGCCTTGGATGACATCAAATTCTTTGATTTGTGCAACTTTAACAGCCCATAAGTAGTCCCACTATAACTTCCGTTTCTTTGACTATCATGGAAGCTAACAGTGCCCATGTGATTACTTTATTGTGAACTGTAAGTCAGGGTCTACACCAGTTGCTTTAACAGAGAAGACTTGGTACAAAGTATTGCTTATTATGTATTTTAAAAATGAAAAGCCCTAAGGACCTGCTCCCAGCCCTGAGGCTAGGGAACAAAGAGAAGACCAGGCGGCAGTCCGTTAGTGTTGGTGTCTCTGAGGGGTGCGCTACATGGCTAGTTCTGCAAGTGATGGACAAACTGCAAACTGAATTGAACTGCTGCTTCTAGAATATTCTGTTGCTGTAGAATTGGAAAACCTAGGCTGTGGGGTTTACAGATTTAGCAAGATGAAAATGCAGCATACCTACTTAAATTTGAATTTCAAGTAAATAATGAATAACTTTTTAGACTATTTATAATAATATTGCATGGGACATACACTAAAAAAGAAGTTATTTGTTGTTTATCAAAAATTCAAAGTTAAGTGTCCTACATTTTATCCGTCAATCTTACAAGGGAGGGGTGATGCTGGAAAAAGCATTCTGTCCCCCTCACCTAGCCCTTCCGTCACCCTCTGGTGCCAGTTATTGGCAGAGCCCAGCATAGAGCCAGTTGGCAAAGCTGGGAAGTGGTTTGCAGACAAAGCCAAGTGAAGGGTGGGTTTGAAACTGAGAAACAATTACCCGATAATTGGCACAGTCCATCCTTTCAACTGTTCAGCATCCATACACACAGTTCTATACACTGGTAATTCCAAACAACAACAAAAACAACTCTAACAAAATACCTAATAAAATACATCTTTCCAACAAATGAAGACATTCTCACCTTCTCCCCAAAATGGGGAGGAGCCAAGTCTCTACCGTCATTTTATTCATCTCTGGAAAATAGTCACACTACCCATCTCTGGGCAGGATTAACTACTCTTTAAACTCAGTCACAGTCACATTTGAAAATTCTGTCACCTAAAGACTAAACTGTAGAATTAACCTCCAACAATACTTATATAAAAAATAAGAGTAAGGAGAGGGAGAATAAATTAGCTAATATATACCATTACGTAAATCACATAATCATCAAGGAAGAAATTATGCATAGCTGCTATATTCCTTGTTTCTGTAATCAGTCATGAGGCCATAGTTGATGCTTATACATTTCTTCCTCAACCTCCCATTCCATGTTTTCTTGTCCTTAGAGAGGACCTCGGTTGGCCAGGGTTCTTTAGTGGGATGATACAAACCTTTCTCTCTGAAGGATGTGAATCCTCAGTGGTCCTGCCTCTCTTTTGTTGCAGTAGTATTCATTAACATCTCCTAATGAGCATGCAAGTACTAAGACACACCCCAGAGGATCCCCTGGGCTCGGATCTAGTCCCTTCTGTCCTCCGTTGCCCCTCGGTCATCAAATAGCCTGATGACAGCCAGTAAAGTAACCCTGTCTTTCTTTGTCCACTGGTTTCATGGCAAAAAAAAGAGAACCAAATGGCCAGGTGGCAGTCTCAACTCTCCATTTGGTAGAACCATGTTGTGAACTCTTATGGAAGTGTTTGTCTCTTGGGAACCAACACCTCCAATCCAGAGAGCACAGAACTGAAGGGACAGGAAGCAAAATTTCTGCAAGTAACGTATTAGGTGAAATGGTGAAAGGAACCACTTCCACTTCAACTCCTTGATTTCCAGACCCAAGTATTCTGGCTATGGGAGAAAGAGCACAATGTATTGTTTGCTAAGTCAAATCTTATACTGCATCCTGTAAGATAGAACTTCAACAGCTTCATAGAGTGTTACCAACTGAGTCTTGGGTAAGTCTTTGGTAGCCCATTCTACTGATCTATTAGGCCAGCTGCTTCTGGGTGGCGGAGTACATATTAAGACCACTGAATTCCAGGGGCATAAGCCTAGTGCTTCACTTCTAGTACAGTAAAATGAATTCCTTGATTAGAACCTTATTGTCTGGAATATACCAGGATGATGACTAGGACATCCACAGATTCCAAACATCCACAGATTATGGCACTGGCCAAGTATTATATACAGGGGAAGAAAATCTATATCCAGAATATTTGTTTATTCCAGGGAGGATAAATCTCTTTCCGGTCTATAATGGAAAGAGTCCAATGTAATCCTGCTGCCAGGTAGACAGTCCTCCCAGGGAATGGTGCCATACCAGGAGCTCCATATTAGTCTCTGCCATTGACAGGTTAGTCATTCAGCAGTAGGAATAGTAGGTCAGCCTTCGTGAGAGGAAGTCCATGCATAGCTTCTGTCCTTGCCACCATGGCTACTTTGTACATAAACTCATGGAGTAAATCCTAGGTGGCTGGAGAAGGATGCTAAGATACACAGGACATGCCATTTGTCCACCTGATTGAGGGAACTTATTTCATTACACCCTTTGGTGAACTTTCCTATGTGGCACAAATATGTTTGCACTCTATACCTATCCCAAGAGGTCCATCCACACACCCCTTCCCCAGACTTCCTCATCACCAGTCTTACTATTTATTCTATTCTAAGTCCCTGACCATCAACCAAACCATTAGCAACTGCCCATGAATCAATGTAGACCTAGCCATCTCTTAGACCAAAATGGACAACCAAATTTACAACTTGAAGTCCTATCCATTAGGAATATTTTTCTCACTATCACTCTTTGGGGCTACCTTTTACTGGAGCTGTGTAGCTGCAACCAGAAACTTCTCATTGATGCCAGTATATCATTAACAATAATCGGTAAACCAAGCCCAAGCTTCTTTCTCCTTGGTTGTAAGGAATCCCTAGTGAGTCCCTAGGTGTGCAATGAAGGAGAAGAAATCATGCAGCAGAAGAAGGTGTCAAATGAGTCTGAACCACCTGCTTATGCAACTTACTTGTATCTTCCAGACGGGCTCAAGCCACTGATGATGGTATGCTACTGGGCACACCAACCTTATGACTTGGTGGATAAGATAGGCAGCTCAGATCACATGGTCACTTAATATCTCATGGCTAGTTTGTGGTCTCATTTTTAATTTGATTTCAATCCATTTATCCCTTAAACAAATTATTCTGTGAGGCTCACACTTCTTTTCTGCTTCTATTATACTTGTCCTTGTCATTTCATTTATGAATGATGGTGGTAGCAGCACCTGACTAACTGATCCTCTCTCCCAGGGTCCAGTCACAATCCAGGAGCTGTTTCCCAAAAGAAAAGTTATCTATAAACAGGGCATATACTTGCTCCAAAACCGCATGCCTATAGACTTGACCTCTGTAAGGGCTAGGGAGAGTTGCTTGTTCTGCCGCACATTCTAGGTGTGGGGAACTTTGCCAAGAGTCTTCCCTTAGGGGTGGGGAGCCAGTGGCCAGAGACTGATCTCAGTGCGCTCTGTTGCAGGCACAGCCTCTGTCGCTGTGGCAGGGATCCTGGCTGCTCTGCGAATCACCAAGAACAAGCTCTCCAATCACGTGTTTGTTTTCCAAGGTGCAGGTGAGGTAGGTACCATCAGGAGAACAAGGATGGGTGGAGAAGCATGAAGGAAGGGAGGCGTTCAGGGGTTCAGAGAAGAGGAAGCAGCACAGGTATATTGTGATAATTGCAGCTGTCTAGACACCAACATTTGGGTGTCTCAAGGACTCCTGGGCCTCCCAGGAGAAGGGGGAAAGGTGCAGACAAGAGAAGATCTTGGTAAAGATTCTGATAAATGCTGAGCAGCTGTTTGCCTTGTATCTGAACATCCACCATATGGTACCTCCCAGGCAGCCATGGGCATCGCCCACCTCCTTGTCATGGCCCTAGAGAAAGAAGGCATACCCAAGGCAGAGGCCACAAAGAAGATCTGGATGGTGGACTCCAAGGGGCTCATTGTCAAGGTACTGTCAGTCTGGAGACTTAGAGGTCTCCTGACACCTACAGCTATTGGAACTGGACTATAAGAGGTCTCCATGGGAGAAAGTGCTCAGACAAAAAACAGAGCAACGGGGGGTAATGTTCTAACCTCCAAAGCAGAAGACACATCCCAAAGTAGCCTTAACTGCTCTGTCCAAAAGCTTTGAATATGTGGGCAAGTGTGTGTATGCATGCCCACAGCTTTATCTCCCACCACTTCCTGCCTTGTAGTAACCTCCAGCCACAGTAAACCATAGTTTTCCAAACATAACATGCTCTTCTTGTCCACATCCTTACATATTTTGTTCTTCTGCCTCAAATGCCCTTCTCTTTTGCCACACACCCACTCTCAACCCTCAACCCCATCTGCTTCCTCCTTGTCTTCTCTTACCTCCTCCAAGACACTTTCTCTGAGCATCTAGGTCTCAGTCCATTTCCTACATTTATGCTCATGTAGCTGTCCCCCTCCATACATTGTACTTGCCTCACTGTAGGGCAGTTGCCCTTTTAATTGTCTCTCTCCCCATTAGGCTTTATAGTCTTCATATCAATGCCTGGCATGTAATGTGTGTGTAATGTTTGAGGTATGAGTGCAAGAATGAATGAGAAACAGTCCAGCTTCTGACTGGACTATGGTGAGGGGCACATTTAAATGGCCTCCACCCTTAGGACTTCACTGAGAGCTCCAAGTTTTAATGCCCAAAAATAATGCAAAATTCCACTAACAGAGAATGTCAGTGAGAGACTTTTTTAAAAAAAGATGACAGAGATAGGAATGGGGGAAGTACATGGGGCTCTCGACCAAGACTAGAAGAAATAGAAACTGACTTTCTGTTATCTCATAGAGAGCCAGATCCTCCTCCCAGCCCAGGTCATTCCAGAGCATAATGCAGCAAAGGTAAAAGCCACCAGAGGCTGCCACACTTCCCTCTTGCCACCTTTCAACATTATTTTGCTTATCCCAGTAAGCTTACCCCTACTCAAGTCTTCACTCTGATTCTCATGAGGCCAGCTGACCCAAAGGAGTCATCAGAAGATCTGTACCATTTACTGGCCTGTCAAACCCTGACTCCTATTTGAAGAAATGTAAGGATCCTGAGCTTGTGGGAACAGCCAGCCATTGCAAGCCTGTCCTGGGGTTTAGCTTATTATTGTTCACAGGGAGGCCAATGGCTCTTGTACAATACATTCAAATTAGCTTTCTGACCCTGATGGCTCAGGCCCCCATCCCTCAACTGGCCCTGAGTGCTGGACACCTTGGGGCCAATGGTCTTGGTCAGACTCAGGTATTTCATGAGAGCCTTTCTGTTCTGTCCCAGGAAGCCATGTCCCTAAAAGTGCAAAGAAAGTCTTTAGGGATTCTCCATATGTGGTCTGGGCTAAAGAAACCCACACACACCCCCACACTATGACAAAACACACATTAAAGTCCTTAGGTTCCACCTTAGGTTTTACCAGGAGATCTGATCAAGAGGATGAGCGACAAGGCTTCTGACAGCTCAGACCGAAGCACAGGGCTCTCTGGGGAATGCTCTCAGGATCTGCAGAGGCATCCACGTCCAGCCAAGCAATTTTTACTGCCCGGCATCATGTTTTCCTTTCCCTGCAGGGAAGGAACCACCTGAACCATGAGAAGGAGATGTTTGCCCAGGACCACCCTGAAGTGAACAGCCTGGAGGAGGTGGTGAGGCTGGTGAAGCCCACGGCCATCATAGGTAGGAGAAGGCAGAAGTCCCACTGTCCAGCCCAGCTAACCTTGACTTGCAGGTGGAAACTAAGGCTCAGCCAGCAGTAATTACTAATTCCATAAGTAACTGATGGAAGTACTGCTGTCTCACCGATCCCATGTCCACCTCAGTGCCACAGTCTTTCACTGAGTGACTACTGTATAAAAACCATAGAACTAAGGCACTAAGTTGGGGCTTAGTGATGCAGAATTATACAGTGCAGTGGAAAAGCACAGGGCTGGTCTCTCTGAGAGGAAGTGAGCACTGCTCTCCCAAAGAGGGGAAACTGGCATCTCTCCCTATATTGGGAGAGGCACGCACTCTAAAGGACTTTGCCCAGGAATGCCTTCACAGGACATCTTATCCGGGCAGGGACCTGAAGGGACCAGTGTTCCCTCAAGGATTAAGAGGAGGTCTTACCCAGCTCAACCAAGACCCTTTTCTCTTCAGCTCCCTCTATCCATCCCTATGGCAGATGCTATCTCCAAGATTCCTGAGTCTTCCACGTTGTACCAAGTCCCCCCCATGACCATCACCAGGAGAGGAATGGGGTGTTTATAAAGAGTAGGCATCCCTACAACCCCCCTTTTCCCTGTAGGTGTTGCTGCCATCGCAGGAGCCTTCACGGAGCAGATTCTGAGGGACATGGCCTCCTTCCACGAGCGCCCTATCATCTTTGCCCTGAGCAACCCCACCAGCAAGGCCGAGTGCACGGCTGAGAAGTGCTACCGGGTCACTGAGGTCAGCGGGGAGTCCTTCCTTCCCCAGGCTAAGAGGACATAGTAATATTATGAGTAACCCTATGAGGGTAAAGAAAAATCCCCATCCCTGATGAGAAAACTGAGGTTCAGAAAGATGAAATAACTTGCCTGAGGTCACAGAGCTAATGAGTGGAGCTGGCCCTCAAACCCAGGTCTCGCTCCAAAGCCCAAGCTCTCATCCTCATGTTATACTGCTCAAGGTTCCTCTAGTAACATAGAACTTTGACCAGAACCTGAGGCATTCATAGACTCTAGGTCACCTGCATTCCTGTCGTGTCCTGGGTTAGCCCACTCAGGAGGTGATAGATTAAAAACCTTCACCTTTCAGTGATTTCTTGGCTGCCAGGTAACTCAGTGGGAGCTAAACTTTCTGGTCAAATGAACAAGTGTGCTTTCAGCACCTGCAGTGTGCTCAGCACAATGCTGAGCATGTGGGAGGGAATGAAGAAGGGTTCGACATTTGGGAGATAAAACTAGGCCACCGTTACTGCCTGAAACCCATCTCCAGGCTCCATCTCTGCTTCTCTCCCTGCCTCCAGGGCCGAGGGATCTTTGCTAGTGGAAGTCCCTTTAAGAGTGTGACTCTGGAAGATGGCAAGACCTTCATTCCTGGGCAAGGAAACAATGCCTACGTGTTCCCTGGAGTGGCTCTGGGAGTCATTGCTGGCGGGGTCCGGCACATCCCAGATGAGATCTTCCTCCTGACAGCAGAGGTATCGCTGTCCCTGCTCCCTTGCGTGCACGCTCCCAATCGGGCCTGTCTTCTATACCGGGTCCTACACTGGGCCCCCAAAGATTCCTTCTCTCCTCTCTTCTACCTACTTGCCCCTTAAGCCAGCAGTAGATCCTCAATGCTTGAACCTCAAGCTTCTCTCAAGATCACCTTGAGGCTTAAACTTCTCTCAGAACACACACATTTTTTTTAAATTATGTTATGTTTGTCACCATACAGTACATCATTAGTTTTTGATGTAGTGTTCCATGATTCATTGTTTGCGTATAACACCCAGTGCTGCATGCAATATGTGCCCTCCTTAATACCAATCACCAGGCTAAACCATCCCCCCACCCCCCTCCCCTCTGAAACCCTCAGTTTGTTTCCCAGAGTCCATAGTCTCTCATGGTTCATCTCTCCCTCTGATTTCCCCCCCTTCATTTTTCCCTTCCTTCTCCTAATGTCCTCCATGCTATTCCTTATGTTCCACAAATAAGTGAAACCGTATGATAATTGACTTTCTCTGCTTGACCTATTGCACTTAGCATAATCTCCTCCACTTCTGTCCATATTGATGCAAATGTTGGGTATTCATCCTTTCTGATGGCTGAGTAATATTCCATCGTATATATGGACCACATCTTCTTTATCCATTCATCTGTTGAAAGGCATCTTGGCTCTTTCCACAGTTTGGCTATTGCGGACATTGCTGCTGTGAACATTGGGGTGCATATGGCCCTTCTTTTCACTACATCTGTATCTTTGGGGTAAATACCCAGGAGTGCAATTCCTGGGTCATAGGGTATCTCTATTTTTAACTTTTTGAGGAACCTCCACACTGTTTTCCAAAGTGGCTGTACCAACTTGCATTCCCACCAACAGTGTAAGAGGGTTCCCCTTTCTCCACAACCTCTCCAACATTTGTTGTTTCTTTCCCTGTCCATTTTTGCCACTCTAACTGGTGTAAGGTGGTATCTCAATGTGTTTTTGATTTGAATTTCCCTGATGGCTAATTATGATGAACATTTTTTCATGTGTCTGTTAGCCATTTGTGTGTCTTCTTTGGAGAAGTGTCAGTTCATGTCTTTCTGCCCATTTTATGACTTATTTGTTTTTTGGGTGTTGAGTTTGAGATGTTCTTTATAGATCTTGGATATCAGCCCTTTGTCTGTAGTGTCATTTCAAGTATCTTCTCCCATTCCGTGGGTTGCCTCTTTGTTTTGTTGACTGTTTCCTTTGCTGTGCAGAAGCTTTTTATCTTGATGAAATCCCAAAAGTTCATTTTTGCTTTTGTTTCCTTTGCCTTTGGAGACTTGTCTTGAAAGAAGTTGCTGTGGCTGATGTTGAAGAGGTTACTGCCTATGTTCTCCTCTAGGATTTTGATGGATTCCTATCTCACATTGAGGTCTTTCATCCATTTTGAGTTTATCTTTGTGTATGGTGTAAGAGAATGGTCGAGTTTCATTCTTCTGTATATAGCTGTCCAATTTTCCCAGCACCATTTATTGAAGAGACTGTCTTTTTTCCATTGGATATTTTTTCCTGATTTGTTGAAGGTTAGTTGACCATAGAGTTGAGGGTCCATATCTGGGCTCTCTATTCTGTTCCATTGGTCTATATGTCTGTTTTTGTGCCAGTACCATGCTGTCTTGGTGATCACTGCCTTGTAATATAGCTTGAAATCAGGCAACGTGATGCCCCCAGCTTTGTTTTTCTTTTTCCACATTTCCTTTGCAGTTCGGGGTCTTTTCTGACTCCATACGGATTTTAGGATTGTTTGTTCCAGCGCTTTGAAAAATGTCATTGGAATTTTGATTGGGATGGCATTGAAGGTATAGATTGCTCTGGGCAGCATAGACATTTTAACAATGTTTATTCTTCTGATCCATGAGCATGGAATATTTTTCTATCTTTTTGTGTTTTCTTCAATTTCTTTTATGAGTATTCTGTTGTTGATCCTTTACCTCTTTGGTTAGGTTTATTCTGAGGTATCTTATGGTTTTTGGTGCTATTATAAATGGAATCGTTTCTCTAATTTCTCTTTCTACAACTGCACTGTTAGTGTATAAGAAAGCAACTGATTTCTGTGCATTGGTCTTCTATCCTGCCACATTACTAAATTGCTGTTATGAGTTCTAGTAGTTTGGGGGTGGAGTCTTTTGGGTTTTCCACATAAAGTATCATGTCATCTGCGAAGAGAGAGAGTTTGACATCTTCTTTGCCAATTTGAATACCTTTTATTTCTGTTTTCTGATTGCTGTTGCTAGGACTTCTAGTACTATGTTGAACAATAGTAGCAAGAGTGGGCATCCTTGTTGTGTTCCTGATCTTAAGGGAAAGGCTCTCAGCTTTTCCCCATTGACGATGATATTCACTGTGGGTTTTTCATGGATGGATTTTATGAACTTGAGGAATGTTCCTTCTATCCCTATATTCTCAAGAGTTGTAATAAGGAAAGGATGTTTCCTGCCTTGTTTTGTCAAATGCTTTTTCTGCATCAATTGAGAGGACCATTATGGTTCTTCTCTCTCCTCTTATTAATATGTTGTATCACATTGATTGATTTGTGAATGTTGAACCACCCTTGCATCCTGGGGATAAATCCCACTTGGTTATGGTGGATGATCCTTTTAATGTATTGTTGGATCCTATTAGCTAGGATTTTGTTGAGATTTTTGGAATCCATATTCATCAGGGATATCAGTCTGAAATTCTCCTTTTTGATGGGGTCTTTGCCTGGTTTGGGGATTAAGGTAATGCTGGCCTCATAGAATGAGTCTGGTAGCTTTCCTTCTGTTTCTGTTTTTTGAAACAGCTTCAGGAGAATAGGTATTATTTCTTCTTTGAATGTTTGTGGTGGAATTCCCCAGGGATTTCATCAGGCCCTAGACTCTCGTTTTTTGGGAGGTGTTTGATCACTGCTTCAATCTCGTTACTGGTTATTGGTCTATTTAGGTTGTCAATTTCTTCCTGTTTCAGTCTTGGTAGTTTATAGATTTCCAGGAAGGCATCCATTTTTCCAGGTTGCTTAATTTATTGGCATAGTGTTGTTGATAATAATTTCTAATAATTATTTCTCTTTCCTTGGTGTTAGTTGTGATCTCTCCCCTTTCATTCATAATTTTATTAATTTGGGTCCTTTCTCATTTCTTTTGGATATGTCTGGCCAGTGGTTTATCGATCTTATTAATTCTTTCAAAGAACCAGCTTCTCGTTTCGTTGATCTGATCTACTGTGTTTCTGGTTTCTAATTCATTGATCTCTGCTCTAATCTTAATTATTTCTCTTCTAATGCATGGCTTAGGCATCATTTGTTGCTTTTTCTCTAGTTCTTTAAGGTGTAAAGTTAGTTGGTGAATTTGAGATTTTTCTGTTTTTTGAGTGAGGCTTGGATGGCTATATATTTCCCCCTTAGGATCACCTTTGCACTGTCCCATAGGTTTTGGACCAATGTGTTTACATTCTCGTTAGTTTCCATAAATTAAGTTCTTCTTTGATTTCCGGAACATTCTGGAGCAGAGTGGTCTTTAGCTTCCAAGTATTTGAATTTCTGCCAAATTTTTTCTTGTGATTGAGTTCCAGTTTTAAAGCATTATGGTCTGAGAATATGAGGGGAATAATTTCAATCTTTTGGTATTGGTTGAGACCTGATTTGTGACCCAGTATGTGGTCTATTCTGAAGAAAGTTCTATGTGCACTCAAGAAGAATGAATATTCTATTGTTTGGGGGTGGAATGTTCTGTATATATCTATGAGGTCCATCTGGTCCAGTGTGTCATTCAAAGCTCTTGTTTCTTTGTTGATTTTCTGCTTAGATGATCTGTCTATTGCTGAGAGTGGAGTATTGAGGTCTCCTACTATTAACATTATTATCAATATGACTCTTTATTTTGGTTAAACAGTTGGCTTATGTAGTTGGCTGCTCCCGTGTTGGGGGCTTAGATATTTACAACTGTTAGATCTTCTTGTTGGATAGAGCCTTTAAGAATGATATAGTGTCCTTCTGTGTCTCTACAGTCTTTAGCTTAAAATCTAATTTGTCTGATAAAAGAATTGCTACCCCAACTTTCTTTTGAGATCCATTGGCATGGAAGATGGACCTCATCCCTTCACTTTCAATCTGGATGTATCTTTAAATGAGCTTCTTGTAGATAACAGCATATGGATGGGTCCTGTCTTTTTATCCAATCTGCAACCCTGTGCCATTTTATGGGAGCATTTAGGCCGTTCACATTGAGAGTGATTATTGAAAGATATGAATTTATTGTCATCATGTTGCCTGTGAAGACGTTGTTTTTATAGATCATCTCTGTAAATTTCTGTTCTATATCCCTCTTGGGGTCTTTCTTCTTTTATAGAACCCCCCCTTAATATTTCTTGCAGGGCCAGCTTGGTGGTCACATATTCTTTCAGTTTCTTCTGGTCTTGGAAACTCTGCGTCTCTCCATCCATTCCAAAATAGAGCCTTGCCGGATAAAGTATTCTTGGCTGCATGTTCTTCTCTATTAGTACCCTGAATATGTCTTGCCAGGCCTTTCTGGCTTGCCAGGTCTCTGTGGATAGGTCTGATGTTATTCTGATGTTCCTCCTTTGTACATAAGGAATCTCTTCCCTCTAACTGCCCTTAAGATGGTCTCCTTGATTCTGATTTGCAAGTTTTACTATTATATGCCGGGGCATTGGCCTGTTTTCCTTGATCTTGGGAGGGGTCCTCTCTGCCTCTAGGACATGAATGTTTGTTTCATTCCCCAGATTAGGGAAGTTCTCAGCTACGATTTGCTCAAATATATCTTCTAGTCCTCTCTGTCTCTCCACCCCCTCCAGGATTCCAATAATTCTGACATTGGAACACTTCATGGTGTCACTTATTTCTCTGATTCCATTTTCATGGATTCTGAGTTGTTTTTCCCTGCCCTCCTCTTTTCCCTTTTTATCTGTTAAATGGTCTTCCAGGTCACTAATTCGTTCTTCTGCCTCACTTACCCTAGCTGTTAGATTATCTAGATTGGATTGGATCTCATTGATAGCATTTTTAAGTTCTGCCAATTCAGCTTTCATTTCTGCCCTTAGAGACTCTATGTTGCATTAATTGATTTCTCCATTCTAGCTATTGTCTTCACAATTGCTACCCTGAATTCCATCTCCGACATCTTGGTTATATCTGAATCCATTTGTAAATCTGTGGCATAAGTCATAGTCTCTGAGTCTTTCCTATTTGGGGGGTTCCTCCTCCTAGTCATTCTGTTGATGGGTGGTTGAGGGAATGTACAGAGTCCAAATTATTGACCACAACCCTAGCAAGATGCACCTGTTTTCTAGGGACCTTAGGGTTGCTGGCCTCTTGTTTTCCCAGCTTGTCTTCTGGGAGAGGAGCCTGCCTCGCTGTTACTCAGGCAATCCTGTTTGGGCAGAGTTGCCCTGCCCGCCCTGTGGTGGGGGATGGTCTCAGTGGAAACCGGTTTTTTGGGGCTTTTGTTCTCTGGCGGCTTTCCCTAGAGGCTTTCCATGTCTCTTCCATGAGTCAGAGCAGAAGAGACCATTTCCAACCCTCTGCCTCAGAGCAGAAGAGACTGTTTCCAACCCTCTGCCTCTGCCCCCTCCCATCGACCTAGCCAATGTTCTTTTTACAGTCTAGAACTCATGCTCCCTCCCGCAGTCTGTTCTTCAGTGAGCTCTCCAGGCCACACTATCTCCTGTATCTCTCTGTGCTGCTATAAACTACAGCATCCTGGGTGGTGTGCCCCTCAACAGCGCTCCCAGTCCTCGCCTCCTGGTCAGGGCTCGTCTCTGCCCTTTGTGCTTCTAGAACCACCAGCCGCCCCCAGTTCGCATGCATGGCCCTGCCGCTCCGGGTTTCCATCGGGGGGCTGCCCTAAAGTCTTTTCCCCGCCTCCAGTCTGCGAGTCTGTGCCCCATCCCCAGCAGGGGAGGCTATCACTCACTGGCAGTGTAGGATCCCCACAGCCAGGCTTCCTCCCGCTGCCATTTATCCTCCTATATCTGGTCGCGGAATCACGGCTCCCTGCTTTGTACCTCGAAACCAACCATGTGCGATATTCTGTTTGTAGAGATCCAGATCTATCTTCTTACATCTCAGGCTGATTTCATGGGTGTTCAGAGTGGTCTGGTAGATATCCAGCTCAATTTAGGGGACCAGTTGAAAGTGTCCCCTACTCCTCTGCCATCTTTTCTCCTCCACACACAACATTTTTAAGGGAAGATAATGAAGAGTCAATGGGAGGAGGTATTGGCAGGAGGCACTGGCAGTGAGGGGACATACTTCAGGCTGCTTCTTGCCTCCCAGCAGTGCTCACATACATGCCTGAAACAGAGGCAAGGCCACCAGAGCCATCTGAAACAAGGCTCATGGACCATGACCAGCAATGGATTCTTCCGACCACTGATCTTGGCCACTTTACCAGGGTAACCTGTTGCAGAATAAGCTCCACTAGGGCAGCTTTCTGTAAGGAAGGGATAAGCTGCAAGCCTGGTTTGCCTACTCTGAGGACCCGGATCTTGAACACAGATACAGGGGTGCCCCTGCTCCAGCTCTCTTCCTAGGAGCACTCTCAAAATGAGTCTTCACTGGACATGATGAAAACAATGAAAGAATTCGTTAAGAATGACAGCCTACATTCCTAATAACGACTGCTAGTACTAACAGCTACAGTGGCTTACATCTACCACGTGTTTGCTAAATACCAGGCACTTCACATTTATCTTCACTCTGAGGAAACCATAGAAATGTCTCTTTGGGGAGGTTAAACTAATCAAAACTATAAACAAATACTAAATATATTTATCCCCAATAAGCTCCAAAGGCTCTACTGTGATTTCTGGCACGATTGCATTTCCCCCTTGCCATGGCACTGGTGAGCGCCCCAGACCAGCAAGACATGGGAAGGGCTTCTACATAGCCCCAGCAGGCTCCTCTTCTATGAGTCCCACAAGGAACTATCTCATGTTCTAGGTTCCTTCTTACTAAATCTTAGTCTTTGAGCACTGACTCCACAAGAATATGCAAGTAGTGTCTCCTAAAGGTTTGTCAGCCTCCCCCATTGCACACTGGCTATGGCTTTGTGCCATGGGCCTCTGTCCATCTTGTGTGACTCTTCTGTGTATTTCTTCTTATTGCTCTCTCAGTGGTGGTGGTGTCCCGTGGCTGTGGGTGGAGTTGTTTGAATCCCCCCCCCATTGGATGGGAAGAGTCATTTCCTGCTTGAAATTAGCCTGAAAGCAAACTCCCCTGTTGCACAGAAGAAGGTTGCTAGAGCCTTCCTCTGTAACCCCAAGAGGCATCTAGACCCCCACCTCCTAGTGACTGGGACAGATCAGCTCCATCATTTCATGAAGAGTGTCCATCAACTACACAGGAACCTCTCCTCAATCCACCTATTAATCTCTTGCTGCAATTGGGACAAGATCCCTCCCTTCTAGGAGCTGACAGTTTGGTCTTTAAAGGGCTGACAAGTTATATTTCTGAAAGGGGTACTTTTAAGTTAAGACAATTTAAGTTGAATCTGATTTTCCTATGGAAAAAATTACTATAACTTTTAGGAGATTTATATATCTCATTCCACCTGACAACTCTGTAAAATATAGTGATTATTCCTATGTGATACCCAAGGAAAGTGAGGCACAGAGAGTCTAAGTTACATGCCCAAGGTCACTGGGTTTGTGACCAGTGACAGCACCAGGATGGCCCCCAATGATTTACTCCAAGCTGCAGCAGAGCATTACCAGTGCCCAACATCTGAGAATTGACCACCATACATGATACATCTCTTCAGTCTGCAGGATAACTCTTCCAGATGCAGATCTAGCCATGGAAATCCTGCTTCCCTCTGATCCCATCTTCTGTACCTATCCCCCCAAAAAATCCTTGAAAACCCAGAACAGTCCATGTCTCTGCTCATTTCAGACATTTGAATGGCTCCTCAGTGCTTACAGGATAAAGCCCAAACTCCTTCACATGGTTTCCATATAAGGCATGTCATCACCAGGCCCTCCTTTCCTCTCCAGCCTTTAGCCTCCCCCTCCCATTGACCTACCCAATGTTCTTTTTACAGTCTAGAACTCATGCTCCCTCCTGCTTATTCTCTCCAAGAAATTGCATGTGATGTTGCCTCTCCCTTTTCGAGTAATTCATACTTTGTCCTGCAGGTCTTAGCTGCTGTCACATCTCCCGGGAAGATTTCCTGTACATGGCAGACCAGGCCCTGCCTTATTCTATGCCTATGTGCCCCCTCTGCTTGCACTCACTTCTATGTTATAATTGTTGTACCTGTTTGTTAATTGTCCACTGACTCCAGACTACAGGAGGAAAAAGGCTTCTCTGCCATGGATCCTCAGCAACTAGCACAGAGCCTGGCATATCATAGAGCTCAGTTAATGTTGGAATGAATAGATGGAAAGGAGAGATAGGAGCATGAAAATGAGGTGGAAGAGGAGGAGGCCCACATCCATAAAGTCAGCCAAACTCTGAGGCAAGACCAACTCCTTTGGTTCATCCATTCTGGGACACAGTTCTCAGAGAGCACCATGGCTTTTCCCAAATTTAAAGATCGGGTGGGAGTGGATTCAGAGCCAGCACAGAACAGAAGCTGTTCCACAAGGCTGGCTGAGCACCAGCACCTGAGGCTGGAGGATAAGGCTTGAGGGGGAGAGCTGGGCCTCAGAGACCAGCTCTGAACCACGGAAGGAAGCTGTGGGAGGGGCTGTTCCCAGGATGCTGTGCCTAGGGCATTCATTCAGATAAAGCCTAAGGCCCCTTTATGGTGTCACTCACTGCAGAAGAAGGCTTTGCTCAGGACTGGAAGGGAGAGCTCAAGGAGCTCTGAATACAGAGAGACAAGATGACCTAGGTAGGCACCCAGGATGTGGGAGAGGCTGGAACTCAGGAAGGGAGGGTCTCAGGGATCTCTGTGCAGTAGGCTGGACCAGCCAGAGAGTCTGCTTTACAAGCCACAAGTTTATTCACCTTGGTCTTAGTGATTCCCCTTTAGAATTTAGGGTCTTGTATAGTTTAAACTCTCAGCCAATCTCACAGTACAGAAAAGGATGTGTCTTTGCTTAAAAGCCCAAGCACTGGGGCACCTGCATGGCTCAGTTGGTTAAGTGTCCGACTCTTGATTTCAGCTCAGGTCATGATCTCAGGGTCGTGAGATGTAGCCCCACATCGGGCTCCATTTTCTCTCTCTCCCTCTCCCTTTGCCCTTCACCCACTCTCTAAAATAATAAATAAATAAATCTTTAAAAAATAATAAAAGCCCAAGTATTAAGCTGCCCTGGGACCATGAGAGGGCAGAGACTACAACAGGAACTGCAATGGTTGGCCACCTATGAGGGGCGAGGTGAATCTCTGGAATAATGGTTTGGGCTTGTTCTGGGAAGGCAGAAACTCAGCTTATTCCTCTTGGTTCTCTCTCCCCAGCAAATTGCCCAAGAGGTCTCTGAGCAGCATTTGTCCCAGGGGAGACTGTACCCACCACTCAGCACCATCCGAGATGTGTCTCTGAGAATCGCCATCAAAGTAAGGAGCATCCTACCCCCAGTAAAATGGCTAGTGAGGCTCAACGACTTCCTCTCTCTGTGAGTTTAGGAGAGCTAAGGGGATGGCAGCTGTGGAGACATCCTAAGCTCCCATCCAGAGGCTGGATGAGAAACCCCTGCCTGCAGCTCGAGCCCCACCCCCAACACCCCCTCAGGCCAGTTCTGGGAAGGCTCCTGGATTTCCCCTCAAACACCAGGCAAAAAGGTCAACAAAATCCATAGTCTTGTAGACCAGAATGTGGGTGGAATTTTTAAAAACTGAATCATAAGTGCCTATTTATACAGAAAGGTCAATTTTCATAGCATCATGAAAAGAGCTCTGGCTATCAGGTCCCAGCTCTGCCAATTACTTCACTTTCCCGAGCCTCAGTTTCCTCCTTTTCCAAAGGGGATGGTAATTCCTCTCTCCCAGAGTTCTGAAGGTTAAAGAGGACAGTGAGAAAGCTCTACACTCAGTGTAGGGAAAATGCTCATTCCTCCCCTTTTTCTCAGAAAGGCTGGGCCACAGGATGATCATGTTCATGGAATATTCCAAGGAAAAATGTCTTCCTAGAGACTTTGCAGAGATGATGGGTTTTCAGAGAATCAGAACACAATGCAATAAAGACTGGCCCAACATTGATAACTGTTGAATATAGATAACTGTTGCATTAGGGTTTATTATACTATCATTTTTATTAGTATATATATTTTACATTTTCTATTGTTTTAAAAATAATTTCAGAAGATGCATTGCACAACAGTATGTGCTCCGCATGAGTTGTCCATTGTAGGCTCCAGAATCAGCCCTCAAGACTAACAGTCCAGCTCATAGTCCCAGCTCCACCCTATTGAGATATTGAGATTAATGCTCTTCCAAAACCATATCTAATACCCAGAGAACAATGTCCAGGCTCTTCTCCCAATTCCAACCACATTTAGTGGGGGAAAAATATCAGGTACTAGAAACCTGATTTTGCCTGTTACCTAATTTTATCCTCACACTACTCCAGAGAAAGGTCTCATTATTCCCACTTTACATATGAGGAAACTGAGGCTCAACAAGGATAATGTCACTGCTGAGGACCCACAGGCATTTGGAAGCAGAGGCAGACTTGAGTCTGAGGCCTCTCGATCCCCGCCTAGTATTTATTCCACCACGTCGCAGCTTCCTACCCAGGCGAAAGCTCAAAATCCCTCCTATCGAGTGGCTTCAGGGACAATAGTTCATGGTTCTGCAGGGCTATTACCCTCCCACAGGCTCCCAAGCAACCTTTAGGCAACTTTTAGGCAGATTCCTCTTTAGTTCCAGTTCCTCAGCCAATATGTTTTTCCCTAGGTCCTCGACTTCGCGTACAAACACAACCTGGCCTCCTACTACCCAGAGCCCAAGGACAAGGAAGCTTTTGTAAGATCCCTGGTCTACACTCCAGACTATGACTCCTTTACACTGGACAGCTATACTTGGCCCAAGGAAGCCATGAATGTTCAAACAGTGTGATGCAGTCTCAGAGGCTGCTGTGAGGCTGGAACATGCCCAGAGTAACACTGACAATATAAATGGGTTCTAAAATGGCTATCTTTGTCACTGTGTTTTTCCTTTGAACTTTCTGGTGTGAGGGGAGATACCCAGGCACACAGTGAATGAGAGCCTTGTCCCTGAGGCCCTGAGAATTCACTTTTCTATAACCCTGACTTCCTCCCCAAGAATTTCTTCATCTAATTGCCAACAATTAGCTAGATCTTGTGGGAAATCTAGAATCCTTCCTAGAACTCTGCCTTTACAGAGCTCAGAGTCTAGTGAAGGAGATATGGACACAATTCATTGTTCCACAAGGGACAAAGTGGTTAAGTCCATGAAAGAAGAGCAGATAAAGGTCAAGGGTAATCAGAGAAGGGAGCAGATACTTCCTATGAGAAATAAGAGAAGGCTTCAGGGGGAGAAATGTGTACAGAGTCCCAAGAGTAAAGGATGGGTAGGAGGCATATTAACACATTTCTACCATCCTACCTCTTTCTCCCTCCTACAATTCATTATTTATTTAGATGGTTAAGCTCTTGTACTAGCTGGTGAATGGTGAACACTGAAATTATTTCTCCTGCAGAACTATATTCCCAGACAGTATGAATATATGGTTAAACTAGCATTAATACAGGTCATCATCTTATCAATTACATAATAAAACAAAGTATCAGGTATCCAAATACAAAGTTGCACAGTTCAAAAAGCATATAAAATATTAGATGCCTACTCACTTCATTAGTAGAAACCTACTTCTCTTGATTGGGAAGACAAGAAAAAGTATGCTTCAAAGAAAAATAGTTAATAAACTTCCAATAGACATGGTGAAGAATTTCAAGATTTCAGAAATTTTATAAATAAGAAATGTTTGGGCTATAAAGCATCTCTGCCTTAAAAAGAATTTTTTTTTTTTTTTGCTAAATAAAAGACCTATTCTATACATCCTGCACAAGACAAAGGCAACATTTTACTAGAGATATTTCATAGCCTCCTCCCACTCTGTCTTCAGGCCCTCCCCCTCTAAGTTGCACCCCAAGTGTAAACATTAAAGTAACTGTAAGACTTTTTTGTCTGAAAACATCACCCATGTGTTTCTGTACAATGTGTATTTTACATGAACTTTTAACCACAGATTTGTGATTTTTCAAAATGGAGGTTTTCCTCACAGCACAAAATGAGCTTAATAGAAAGACATTAAATAATCCCCTAAGTCTTGGTAAGAATCCAATAAAAATCAATTTTTGCTAAAACCTGATGTATACTGGTGCTCATGTGGGATGGTAAACATGAAGGAACAAATAACCACATAGGCCCTACTTGCAATGTTTGAAAGGACTAAAGGAATAAACCACATATGGTTTACAGTGCTGTTCATAATTTCTAGGATTTTAATTATATATGATACTAAAAATATACAAGTATTGTGCTGGATATTTTGGCACCTAATCTCTCAATTCTTACATATTTTTTCTGGCATGGGAATAGTATGAAGCCAAACATAGAGGCTACAATTCTGTCAAGCTTGTGGCTTTTTCATGATTCCTATGGAAGCTTCATTAGACTTGTCATTCATTAAGCCTACATGTTGGCTAATATGTATGATAATTAAGTCCTGTCTCAAGTTCCATTTCCAAGGCAATAACATCAGGGAGCCAAGTTTTATTGAATGCAACAGTTGTTTCTATGACCACTGGAGTCTTTGTAGCATAGCCGCATTTTAGAATGATATTTCTCCAAATACAAAAGTTGCTTGCTGTTAAAAGCTCCACGCTGCTTTTGTCTTATAAACTGTACTGCATCTTCATTTTTCATTCCACCTTCAATTAGTGCTAGGGCAACAAGCACTGGAGTTCTCCCAAGACCTGCAATACAATGAACAGCAATACAACAACCAGGTTCTTCACAAAATTTAATGTTTACAAGAGTTAACCAGTCATCGACAATCTGGTTAGATGGTGATGACCCATCATCAAAAGGCCAATCCAGAACCTGGATGCCTTCTTTCTCCACAAGAGCAGTGTCGTAGGTGGCTTCACATACTCTTACTATTGTAGTAACTCCGTATTTCTTAAGTTCTTCTATAAATTTGTTTAAGGTTGCACTTGTTGGACTGTGTGTAATAAGAAATCTCATGTTCCTGTATGTGACTTCCACAGGGGCTGGCCGGTTCATTGGAGCCATGTTAATTTAGTTGAAACAATACAGTTACGAAAAAGTGTTTTAAATATTTGAATACAGAAATGATGTTAAGAAACAAGTATACTCCAATGTACTCCACTGGAAATTCTCAATGCTTTGAAAATGTAATTGAGAATAACAGGAAATGAAATGAACCTCAGTTCAGTAATACTGAGTCAATGGAAAGGAAGTGCACCCAGGTTTACCCCATCCAGGTCCGAATTCTTGTAAAATGCTCCGATGATTTCAACTCTACACTTGTGTGTCCAGGATAACCGATCTTACGGGGGCTTCCCAGTAGAGTAGCAATGAACCTCCACAGTTCATTTGTCCTCATAAAGGTCGTGCTGTTCCTGGCAGTAATCTCTGGGGCCCTTCAGAAACTCCATAAATGCGTGGCCAAGAACACCACAGAAAGGAGCTTGTTTACTCATTAAAGACTGTGGCCTAATCATATAACCAGTCCCCCAGCGGTGACACAGACGGCAGCGGTGGCCTCGGCTGCAGGGCAGGGAGCTGCAGTGGTGGCCCCGGAGCAGCAGTGACCGGACACCAGGCTCTACTGTGCTCCAGCCTCGAAGAAGCCAATCCGCGCACTGAGGTGTTCTTGCGTCACAAGCCCTCCCTTTCACAGTTGGCATGACGTGGGCTCCTCTCCACCAATCGCGACGGGGCGCACCGAGAAGCCATGAGCAAGAGACCCAGCAATGGCACGCAGACATCACTACTGTGGATGGTTGAGGAAGGAAGGAGTAGTGGAGACTGAGACACCGAAGTGGACTACGACGGGAGGGGAAGGTATTGGAGGAAGAATCCCAACCATTCCCATCCATTGGCTCTGACTGATCAATCTTTTTCCAGCAGTTTAATGTTGTAGCTGTCTCTTGGGAACAACACATTCCTAGACTTTTTCTTTAACCCAGTCTGATAATATTGGTCTTTTAACTGAAGATCTTAGTTAATTTACATTATTTTATTATTTTATATTATGTTAATTATTGCTATATTTGCTCTCATTTTGTTTATTTCTTTATATTTTATTTATTTCTTAATATCTTTTTTATCCTTTCTTGATTTCTTTTGGATTATGGTTTTTCTCTAAATCTATATCCTAAATCCTCTACAGTGCTGGAATGCTGTGACTCTGACTTAAACTTCTTAGCAATTATGACAGATTAGACACTGTTCTAAATCTAACTGGATTTACATAAATTCATTTGGTACAACCATATGAATTAGATACTAGTATTATTTCTATAGCTCTGATTTAAAAAAATAAATAAATAAATCTAGGCACAGAAAAGTTATTTGCCCAAAGTTACACAACTAGTAAATGTCAGAGCTGAGATTTAAATCGTGAAATTCTGGCTCTGGAGTCTACCTCTCTAATATATATATGTCCTATCATATACCTTTTTACTCTTTTACTACTTAAATAGATTAGAAATAGTCAAACATTCAAAATACTTTCCCATGTCTTAAAGGAACTTAACATGCTTTATAAATTAACATGGTCAGCATTGTTTTTTTTTAATTTTTTTATTGTTATGTTAATCACCATACATTACATAATTTGTTTTGGTGTAGTGTTCCATGATTCATTGTTTGTTCATAACACCCAGTGCTCCATGCAGAATGTGCCCTCCTCAATACCCATCACCAGGCTAACCCATCCCCCCACCCTCCTCCCCTCCAGAAACCTCAGTTTGTTTTTCAGAGTCCATCATCTCTCCTGGTTCGTCTCCCCCTCTGACTTACTCCCCTTCATTCTTCCTCTCCTGCTATCTTCTTCTTTTTCTTTTTTCTTAAAATATGTTGCGTTGTTTCAGAAGTACAGATCTGTGATTCAACAGTCTTACACAATTCACAGCGCTCACCGTAGCACATATCTTCCCCAATGTCCATCACCCAGCCACACCATCCCTCCCACACCCGACCACTCCAGCAACCCTCAGTTTGTTCCTGAGATTAAGAATTCCTCATATCAGTGACTTCATATGATACATGTCTTTCTCTGATTGACTTATTTCACTCAGCATAACACCCTCCAGTTCCATCCACATCGTTGCAAATGGCAAGATCTCATTCCTTTTGATGGCTGCATAATATTCCATTGTGTATATATACCACCTCTTCTTTATCCATTCATCTGTCGATGGACATCTTGGCTCTTTCCACAGTTTGGCTATTGTGGACATTGCTGCTATAAACATTGGGGTGCACGTACCCCTTCGGGTCCCTACATTTGTATCCTTGGGGTAAATACCCAGTAGTGCAATTGCTGGATCAAATGGTAGCTCTAATTTCAACTGTTTGAGGAACCTCCATACTGTTTTCCAGAGGGGTTGCACCAGCTTGCATTCCCACCAACAGTGTAGGAGGGTTCCTCTTTCTCCACATCCCCGCCAACATCTGTCGTTCCCTGACTTGTTAATTTTAGCCATTCTGACGGGTGTGAGGTGGTATCTCATTGAGGTTTTGATTTGGATTTCCCTGATGCCGAGCGATGTTGAGCACTTTTTCATGTGTCTGTTGGCCATTTGGATGTCTTCTTTGGAAAAATGTCTGTTCATGTCTTCTGCCCATTTCTTGATTGGATTATTTGTTCTTTGGGTGTTGAGTTTGATAAGTTCTTTATAGATTTTGGATACTAGCCCTTTATCTGATATGTCATTTGCAAATATTTTCTCCCATTCTGTCGGTTGTCTTTTGGTTTTGTGGACTGTTTCTTTTGCTGTGCAAAAGCTTTTTATCTTGATGAAATCCCAATAGTTCATTTTTGCCCTGGCTTCCTGTGCCTTTGGTGATGTTTCTAGGAAGAAGTTGCTGCGGCTGAGGTCGAAGAGGTTGCTACCTGTGTTCTCCTTTAGGATTTGGATGGACTCCTGTCTCACGTTTAGGTCTTTCAACCATTTGGAGTCTATTTTTGTGTGTGGTGTAAGGAAATGGTCCAGTTTCATTCTTCTGCATGTGGCTGTCCAATTTTCCCAACACCATTTGTTGAAGAGACTGTCTTTTTTCCACTGGACATTCTTTCCTGCTTTGTCAAAGATGAGTTGACCATAGAGTTGAGGGTCCATTTCTGGGCTCTCGATTCTGTTCCATTGATCTATGTGTCTGTTTTTGTGCC